TCAGCTGTAGTTTTTCAATAGTACTTTCATTTTTAATATACCTCTCTGAAGCATCTTTTAAAAGAACTTTCATTTTTAGGGCAACACTTTTGCACCCAAAAAAATCAAGTTCTTGAACTCTGATATAATGATGAATAGTTCTTTCCAACAGGACGTTTTTCCTAGTGTTTAGCTGAAAACTAAATCCATTCACTTGGATCCCACCCTCTGTGATCAGAGACAACAAATGTGGTTAATCACTATGTGACAGCCCTTCAGAGATGCAAGGATGGCTGTCACATTGCTTCTTAATCTCCTCTTTTCCAGGCGAAATATACCCAAAGTTCCTCCACTGTTGCTCACATAGCTTGGATTCCGGAACCTTTCTTATCTTTCCCATCCTACTCTGGACATGCTTCCTATTTTATTCCTGCAAAGTCACCTCTTGAAAAACCTAACAGGGATTTTAAAATATGCGAGATAGTTAAGGAGTGTTTTTACCCTTGCCATCATGGTACATTTTCTCTTCTGTTGTTTGGCTCTCTCCAAACAAACAAAAAAACAAAAGCCACAACTTGACTGATTGATCTATAGGCTGCCTTTCTCCCAATAAGGTTTTTTTTTTGGGGGGGGGACCCAAACCAGAGAGGAAACTGCCTGTGTTCAGACAATACACTAAGGAAACCAGGTAGTAAAACTCTGTAGTTTTCTTCACTTCAAGAAGGATTGGTCATAACTGACATGGCAGGATTCCCTAGACTGGCAGGTCATTTGAAACTCAGTGAGACTGGCGCTGAGGTAAAGAGTGACATCTCCAACTGTGTGGGAAGCCAAAGACAATTCTAGTGAAAGAAGAAGGGTAACAACAGAAAAGCACAAGTAGACCTTGATCTATGTTTGAAGTAAGCCAATCCTCCTCTCCCCACACAGCAGTGACAGACCACAACAAAACTTAGAACAAGCCTATTACCTTTGTCCCCAACACATCCTTTCACCCACTTTGTTGCTGCAGCAACACTCTCCGTGGAGGTGACATCTAAAATGGTGGTTTTCAGTCTCCCTGAGGTGGCCTTCTCAAGATCCTCTGTCCCTTTTTGGGTGAGACAGGCAGCCAACACCTGCATCCCCTGGGTGTCCAGCTGCCTGGCGAGCTGGTTTCCGAAGCCAGAGTCACAGCCAGTAATGAAGACATACTTCTCTGTCAGTTTCTCCACAGTCTGTCTCTCCCGGTACCATTGACGAAGGAAGTAAAGCCCCAACAGGGCAGCCAAGTAGAGCCACATCGCTAAATCCTGCAGGCAAGAAGGAAGTGTGTAAAAACTGTAGCATATACAAGCTTGGAAGAGTTTCCTTTTTGTGCTGTCATTCTGAGAATATGGTGAGCATTGCCACTGATGATTCTGAGAATTGCAGTCCAGGAAATTACACTCTCAGGATCTTTCCAGGTCTATGGAGAACTGAGGTCTGATTCTCATTCAGCTATTAAACTTAGTAGATGGGCTTTGATTGGCCACAATTTAGCTTCACAGGGCAGAGCTGAGCATACAGTCAGAAGCAAGGAGCTTTGAATGCTTCTGTAAGAATCTGGAATGAATGCAAGATAGTGTGTGTGTTTTCTGTCCCATTGTCAGAACTGACTTACAGCAGTTATAACCAGGCTTTCAAGATAAGTGAGATATTCAAGGAGTAGTTTTACCAGTTCCACTTCCCCAGTGAGTTTCCGTGGCTAAGTGGAGGATTCAAACCTAGTTCTCCTAGTATTGTACATCATTCTGTCAACAACACCACACTGGGAACCCCCAAATTCAAGATTACAATTTTATGCATAATATTTCTGGTAAGCTGAACAGAGCACAAGTCTGATCTTGAAAAGGCTCTCCTAAGTCTTTTGGAGAGGCAGCTCCTTGCATCCAAATGGCACATTGACTTCAAGCAACCCTCCAGCTCCTCCTTCCTTTGTCATTTGTATCAATACACTCTGCACCTCACACAGAGATAGCCTCTCTCCCTTCCTCTCACTCCTTATACACACAAACACAAACATGCAAATACCAGTTCTTGCCACAGTCATTCCTTGAGCTCCCGAATGACAAAAAGTCATTGGAACAAAGCAAGAGAATGGGATCAGAAATAAGAGTTTTGCCTTTAATGGTCAGGAGAAGGACAGAGCTTCACCCACACCAACCTCGCTATAAGGCAGCCAGCCATGTAGCTCTGCTTGCAGTGAGGGCTGATTGGTATTGCTCCTGATCAGTCTCCATCAGCAGCCTGGCCACCACCAATCTCAGCTATCAGAGTAAGGGGGGGGGAAGTAGAAT